GACCTGGCTGAGCAAGCTCTCAGCGTAAGTTATGCTCTGCACATTCTTCACACATGCACGCTAACTCGCTATGGCATAGACTTTAGCGAAGATCTCGGTCGACTTTCCTGCCTCGATCGTGCGGGAAGGTGGTTTGACGGCCTGTCTGACTTATCTCGACTTCTTTCCTACCAGCACGCAGCGCACGGCCGTGACAACTGCTGCCAACTGCTGCCGCAACCTACCCCACGACTCATTTCCAGTTGTTCGTGATGTCATGCCGACCCTGCTCAACGTGCTCTCCAGCAACGATCCCAAGGTGGTTGAACAGGCGTGCCTTTGCGTTTCGCGGATCGTTGAAAGCTATAAACACAAGCCGGAAAAGTTGGAGGAGCTGATTGAACCCGCCATGCTGAAAGCTGTGCTTCGATTGCTTTTGCCTGGAACCACCAACCTCGTCGGGTCGCATATTCACACTCAATTCTTGCGTGTACTCGCGATTACCTCGAGAGCCAGCCCTAAATTGTCCGTGGAGCTGCTAAGAATGGACGTGGTCGACACTTTATACCAGATCCTGACGGGTGTGTCGCCTCCGGCCAACTTGGACGATACGGCTGTGAAGATGGACAGTGTATTGGTCATGCAAGCATTGATCCACCGTCCCAAGGAGCAGGTCTTTGAGACTCTTGATGTCATTTGTGAGCTATTGCCTAGCGTCCCGAGCCGGCATGTCCCACAACTCGAAGGTTTGATCGGACCCAGTGGCATTTCCAAGCATCCCAGGGCGCAAGAGTCGGCCGAGAGACGGCGCGAATTGCTGCTGGAATGTAAAACGGAACTCAAGCGGTTTGCCATGATACTGTTGCCGACTCTAACCGATGCTTACTCCAGCACTGTCAATCTGGAAGTTCGCCAGAAGGTTCTCACCGCTCAACTCAAGATGCTTCACAATTTGGACGTCGGCTTGATTGAAGATGCTCTGAAATCGGTTCCTTACGCATCTTTCCTGGCAGCGATCCTGTCCCAGAACGATCACCCCACGCTAGTGTCTCACGCTATTCGTTGCGCAGAACTCCTGTTCTTGCGCCTGGAACATGTCTATCGGCATCAATTCCACCGCGAAGGGGTCATTTCCGAGATCTTCAAGCTTGCTCAGCAGCCATTGTCTACCAACAAGCTGGAAAAGCAGACCGGCGATACCACCACGAAGGACACCGCTAAGGAAGAGAAACCCGCTGCGGAAGCCCCCGCCAAGGATAGCTCTGTCTTAGGCTCAGACGACGAGGATGGGCACGACGACGATGAAGCAGAAGATGACTATGATGAGCCGGAGGACGAAGATAACGATGACATTTCCGAAAGCTCGTCGTCAGCTTCAGGTCAGCTCGTTGCTAATAAGATCGCGAATGCAATGAAGGACCTCGTTATCCGCAACGCTCAGGGCTTTGTCAATCAATACGAAGCTAGTCAAGGCAAGGACATGCGAGACAAAGCCTTGGAGATTCTTCAAGAATTGCAGACTCTTGCTTCCGATCTCGAGGCCTGCTACTCGGGCGATGAGACTGACGACGGGCTTTCCCTCTTCAAGAAGTTGGCAACTTACTTTGACGGTGATGCCCTGGAGAGCATCACTAGCTCAGAGCTGCTGAACTCTGGCATCATCACAGTACTTCTCAAGGTCTTTGGAGATTTTCAATGTAAGAGGCCCGTCCTTACCTGCTGATTTGTGCTAACTGTATCTAGCTACGTCTATGCGCGAAGCTCGTGCCGCCTTTTTACAAGCCTTTATGGGGTCGACCATATCGGAAAAGGCCCAAAGCCAGAGTACTGCAACTACCCCCTTCAGTGTGCTCATTCAGAAACTGCAGGATTTGCTCAGCAGGACTGAGCATTTTGAGGTCACTACTGTCAGTCACAATTCACTGGAGAATACACGTAGCAATGCCGCCTACATGCTTGGGAAGCAGCTCCGATTGAAGCTTGTGGCAGATGAGGACTCCGACATCCCCAAAACCTACCGCAACATTATGGTGTCGATTCATGCCATCGCGACTTTCAAGGCTCTGGATGATTTCTTGCATCCGAGAATCAGCCTGTCTGATCGACCAAGGCCAGCGCGTAATCACGATTCAATCCTTGCCCAACTCGCAAATGCAAATGCAGCCCGGCTCCGTGAGCAAATAGCCGACGCAGAGCGCTTTAGCAGCGGTAGCCCTCAGCTGCCACGAACGTCGAGTACGACCAACAACCCGGCCCACCCCGGAGAGACTGTCGCCGGTGGTGACGAGTCTGCGTCAGGACTGAGGCGATCAAGACGTCAGGAAGCCGCCGCCGAAAGTGAACATGACAATGAGCCACTCGAATGCGCAGACGAACGGCAAATGAGCGATGACGAAGATCATGATGATGAAGGTGACGACGAGGAGCTGAACGCCATTGTGGATGATCTCGATGAAGACCTTTCGGATGATAATACTCAAGACCCTACTGCTGTCAACATGGAGGTTGCATCTTCCGGTAAGGTGACTGCTCGCAAAGAAGATGGCACCCGTGTAGCTACACCATCGCAGACGCCAGCTTCCAAGTCAACGACATCTGCACCGAGCGCCGCCCCCAACCCCTCATCTGGTAGCTCCTTGGCAACGGCAGGTCGACCGTTCTCGTCTTATGCGGCTGCCATGGCCTCGATCCCTTCAGATTGGCACATTGAGTTTAGCATTGACGATCACCCTGTGTCTAGCGATACCACCATCTACCGTGCAGTGCATCACAATCGTCAGCATGTCGACCCAAGCGTGAAGAACGTGTGGTCGGCAGTTCACACAGTCAAATTCCGGCGTGTCCCAGGCCCCCCTCCCCCTGAACCCTCCTCAATCGCCCAGGGAGGCTCTGGCGGCTCTGCCAAGCCCGAGGGTGAAGAGATGCCAGCTTCTCTCAGCCAAGGCCCCACGACTGCGAGGATCCTTCGGCTTCTGCGTGTCTTGCACGAGATGAATGCCACTCTCGACGACATCATTGCAGAGACTAAAGAGCTGGTCGCACTGAAGCCTGAACCATTGGCCCAATTCATCAACACTAAGCTGACTGCCAAGCTCAACCGGCAATTGGAAGAGCCTCTCATCGTGGCGAGTAGCTGCCTCCCTAGCTGGAGCGAGGACCTCGCCCGCCTCTTTCCATTCCTGTTTCCGTTCGAGACGCGGCACCTGTTCCTCCAGTCAACTGCGTTCGGCTATTCGCGCGCAATGATGAGGTGGCACAATTCTCAGAACGGTGATGACAGCCGCAATGATAGTCGGCGCGATGACCGGCCTATCCTCGGTCGCTTGCAGCGGCAGAAAGTGAGGATCTCAAGAAGCCGTATCTTGGAGTCTGCCATAAAAGTGATGGAGCTTTATGGGTCTTCTCCGAGCGTGTTGGAGGTTGAATACTTTGAGGAAGTCGGTACCGGTTTGGGCCCTACTCTTGAGTTCTACTCCACCGTCTCGAAAGAGTTCTCGAAGAAGAAGCTGAAGATTTGGAGGGAGAACGATTGCGCCAATGGCGAAGAATACGCTTTCGGTAAGCGCGGTCTGTTCCCTGCGCCCATGAGTGAGGCACAGGGTGCATCGGAAGCCGGTAAGAAGCAACTGCACTTGTTCAAGATCCTCGGAAAATTTGTTGCCCGGTCGATGCTCGACTCTCGAATCATCGACATCTCGTTCAACCCAGCCTTCTTCCGCATTGCCGATAGCTCCTCCTTCGTTGCGCCGTCGCTTGGGACCGTGAAGGCTGTCGACCAGGACCTGGCCAATTCACTGATGTTGCTGAAGCGCTACGCCAATGTGAAGAAGGCCATCGAAGAGGACAAGGGGATGTCTGTGACCCAGAAAGCTCAGGCCCTCCAAGCCGTCGAAATCAATGGGGTTAAGGTCGAAGATCTAAGCTTGGATTTCACACTACCCGGGTATCCAGCTATCGAGTTGGTTAAGAATGGTTCGAACATCCCAGTGGTGATCGAAAATGTGGATCTGTATGTGGACCGAGTGGTGGACATGACCTTGGGCAGTGGAGTCCAGCGTCAAGTGGAAGCCTTCCGAGCGGGCTTTTCGCAGGTGTTCCCTTACTCGGCTCTGCGAACCTTCACTCCCAATGAACTTGTTATGCTGTTCGGCCGCGCCGAGGAGGATTGGACGATTGAGAGTAGGTGTTTTCCTAAGAATGTGTCAGAGCACCCTGCTAAACTCGGTTCTAGCCCTGATGGACTCCATCAAAGCCGACCATGGCTTCAACATGGACAGCCGCAGCGTGCGAAACTTGCTTCAGACGATGAGCGAGCTGAATGCACAACAACGGCGAGACTTCTTGCAGTTTGTGACCGGCAGTCCCAAGCTGCCGATTGGCGGTAAGATTTTTCGAGTTGTTCGGTCATGAAGACCAACTGCTAACATATGCTGTCTAGGCTTCAAAAGTCTCACTCCGATCTTCACGGTGGTCTGTCGGCCCAGCGAACCGCCATACACGCCCGACGACTACTTGCCTAGTGTCATGACCTGTGTAAACTACCTAAAGCTTCCCGACTACAGCAGTTTGGACACCCTTCGCGAGCGACTCTCTGTTGCCATTAAAGAGGGCCAGGGTGCATTCCATCTGTCGTAGAAGAGTGGCGAGGGAACCTCAGGGGAAAGTGGTTCGTTGACGGAAAATGATTTGCATGTGTTTGTGTTTTTTTTCTGTTTCAGTCAATTTCGGGTGGGCATTTCTGGGTGTGAGTTGGTTCTCATGTGTATTTTGAAGGGGAAAAGGAGTTTCCAGGCGGGACCTTCTCCGTATTGGTTCAATTTAGATAGAAATGCAAATATGGCGACGGTGAGATGAGTGTGCAAAAGTTGTTTTGTAATAAACTGATCTATATTTAGTGTGTCTATGTCTATCTTGGTCTATATTTATTCTAGTTTGAAAGACAACGCCGGGTATTATACGCACTTCTCCGTACTCTCCTCACTATACTCTCCCACTGCAACCCACCACAACGTGTGACTCCATCAATTCCGATACAACGGCACCATAGACTAGATTTCAACCACCGATCAGCCACTATTCCCCCCTACTCTCAGAGGGAGAAAAGAAAGACTTACCTCCGCAAACTTCGGCTCAACAAACAACGCCCTCGCCTCCGCGACCATCGTCCCTTCTTCCTCGGAGACACTACCCGCAGGAGGCAACGAAGTCAGCGACCCCTCCACCCACGCCTTCCGGCCCTCGACCCGCACCGTCTCGGCACGCAGCACATACACCCGGTCCGGCCGCGCGGGCTTCCGGAAATCCACGCTCAGGTTGGCCGTCATCCCCACCCCGCTGGCGAAGGAGGCCGCCACGCACCGCGCGAACGTCTCGTCGAACATCACGCTCAGCAGGCCGCCGTGCACGTACCCCGGGTGCCCGTTGAGGGTCGTGCCCAGGTGGAAGAGGGAGATGGTTTGCGCTAGTGCTTGCGGTTGCGTTGCTTGCGCCGGTTGGTGGGTTGATTCGTTCGGTGGGGGTTGGTTTTTGTGGGTTGGTTTGGTCCGCGTGAAGACGTACGGCGGGACGGTGACTTTGTGGGCGCCGGAGAGGGTGCCCGCGACGAAGTGCGAGGCGCGGTGCGTGGGGATCATGGACAGGTGCGGCCGGGTTTCGGTGTAGCTTTTGTCGGAGCGGAGGGCCTGGAGGAGCGGTTGCGTGGTGAGCTGGGTTTCGGCCTGGGTAATTTCGTATGCTTCGTTGGGGACGGGGGTTGCTTGGCTTGGGGGCATGTTTTGGGGGGATGTTGTTGCTGTTGTTGCTGTGGCGGAGGTGGCGGTTGCGGAGCGCAGGGTGCGCGTTTGAGGTTTTGAGTGGATGGTGGGGGTTGTGAGGGTTGGTAGGGGGCGAAGGTGGGGGTTGTGAGGGCGTTGAGGGCGCAGGAGGAGGCGGGTTAGGGGTCTGAGGCGCGGGAGGTGCGACATTTTGTGTTGTGCTGAGGCTGCTGTGGATTCGATACGGAGGATGTGTGTGTGTGTGTGTGTGTGTGTGGGATGTTGCTTGCGAGGCTGGATTTATAGGGACTGGTTCGGATTCTGGCGGTGACTCCTGGTGGTGACTGCGATGACTCTGGGTTGGCGTGGTCAGTTAGACAGGGTCTTATCGATTTGCGATTGCGATGATGCGATTGTACTGTACAGTACTATGGGGGTTGACTGTTGATTGATCTGGGGATTTGCTGTTGATGCCATTGGAGTATGCGACGGAGTACTTACTGTGTAGACAGCTGCCCTGGTCTTCTCCGGCAGGATTATAGCTTCGAGGTTGAAGTGATTCTATCCAGGTTCGAGAAGGAAAAAAAAATGAAGAAAAAGCCTGGCGCATCCCAACGGAGTGGATCATACTTCCTATCTCGGTAAGCCCACGTGGGATCCATGGACCCGGCGCATCGGGTGGAATCCGCCCAATTAAACCCCGACGTGGGCGGGTGTTCCGCGCCGGACTTCCGGGTGGGGCGCTTCTCGGCTCGGCTTCGAGGTCGGGCGGTATACTTGTGTGTTGATGAGGTCATCCATTTTCAATGTAGAGCATACCTCAGGAACTGAGCAGGATTAAGGCAGCTCATAGCTTTTGTCGAAAGAGATATTACAGAGGAGTCTGCTTTTAGTACGAGGATGTAGAAGGGAGTGTGTCTGTGGGCCTTGTGTGGATACTTGATACTCTATTTGCGTTTCAGAAAGGGAGACACTTCATGGTGTATGGCGCTTTTTTCGAGGATATCTGTGTAATGAACCCGATGATGATTTGACGATGCATCAAATTATACGGCATCTAGAAACCAATTATCTTCAGGCTTGGCTCAGAGCTAGCAGCACTTTATGAAGAGAATCATGCTATGAATCTCTGGTTACACATGTGCTGAACTTGCTGGGCTTCATGATGAAGATGGAGAGATGACGTTGTCCAATTCGGGTGTGGCATGTGGTAAGGGCGGTTCCACTTACCTCTTACTAACTCATGATATAGCGTCATATCCCTCCATAGCTCCTTCCGATCCTCATTCATCTTGTTATCAACTTTTCGACGCGCACGCTATAGATCTCGTGTCTTCTGACCCGTTTTCCAGACTTGTTATCTGCCCGTCAATCCATCATCTTCCTAGCCAGCCTGCTTTGTCATCGGATTCGAGGTCTAAACTAGAAGGGTCAACGCAGCCCTGACGACTACCAGCACACTAGCTGCAGGCCCAAAGCCTAGGTTCTGGACCATCTGCCGTGATATCAAGGGAAAGAACTGCCCAGAATACTCCGGCAAAAGCTCTGCGCAGCCAACGCCGAGCTCGCGTAGTGATTATACGTACCCGCCAGATAATTGAAAACAGACAGGTAGATGGAGAAGATCCCTGCAGTAAAAGTGCCCACAGCCATCGAGGATAGGACTGGGTCACCGCGCAGCATACTTGACATGTAGTGAACAGGGATTGCGCCGCTGATGAACACAGGCTGTAGCGACTGGCGGCCAATGAGGCGAGCTAGCTTGATATGCAGCAGGCGCCTGTTATCATCCATTTGTACGTCGGGGACCAGCCAGAAAGTGGTCGGAGGGGTGTCAGGTCTGGGAGAGTGATGTGAATTGGTTGACTTTTTTCAGACGGCAAAGGGAAGTTCATCTCATAGGTGGGGTCCTCGTGCAGTTGCCGATGTTGGGTTTTCATGGACGTCTAAGAAAGGCTCGTTCGTTGCTAGTGGTTGACATGGTATCTCTTGTGCTGCAGAACACTTTGGTTAGGACTGAAACAGATCCTTTGCGGTATATTAAGAAGCATTGGATTATTGCGCTTCGAAATAGGGAAAATTGGATCGCGACAAGTCGGATAAGCTCATAGAGTTGGATCTGATTATACAAGGGCAAACCAGGCGGAGGTGGGGGGTTTTCTCCAATTATTTCAAAGGAGAAGAGATAACAACATTTGATTCTCGTACGTGAAAACCTCTCTGAATGTTTTGCGCTGACTCCATGCGGACTCATTCTACACAGTTTGTATTTGGCTACCCAGCAGCTACCATATCAAGGCAACGACATGGAACAGAGCATGCATGTTAACGAAACTATACAATGTCTACTAGGTATATACATGCATCATGTAGAGTTGCTTCTACTCTTCATCTCCCCATGATTAGAACTCCAACGCATCCACCTGCCCCAAGAACGAACTGTTGCCCTCGCCACGCAGCAGCGCCTCGATGTCCACCCGTCCCGAGGTGAGATACCGCTCACTCACACCCACGTTCACCCGCTGCGACAGCAGCTGCTTCAATTCCGCCCTCATGCTGGCCATCTCGGCCTTGCTGGTCTCTCCGGCCTTGCGTTGCCGTTCCTGGCGGCCCCGACCGCGACCGCGACCGCGACCCGCCGACTCGTCGAACTCTTCACTGTCGTAGTCAACGCCCAGGTCTTCTGCAGCGTTGCGGAGCCAGTTGTCCTCCGCGGAGATCTTCTCCTTGGCGATGGATGAATCGGCAATCTTCGCCGCCAGCTTGACGCGGGGCTTGACGCGGCCCACGACCCGGCGGTCCAGCTCGAGAGACTCGAGGGGCACCTTCTTGGCGTTAGCCATGTTGGCGTGAACCTTGGCCGCCAGGCGGATGACGCCCTGCATCTCCTCGGGGGAGCAGATGAGCACGCTCTTGCCAGAGGCACCGGCACGGGCCGTACGACCGGACCGGTGCACGTAGGTGTCGGCGGTACGGGGCGCATGGTAGTGGATGACAAAGTCGATGCCCTTGATGTCGAGACCACGCGCCGCCACGTCGGTGGCAACGAGGATCGAACTGGGGTCAGAGGTGGGGGATGAAAAGCGTTCCACGGAGCGCAGACGGGCCTTCTGCGCCATCGAAGAGTGAAGGGCCAGCGCGGGGAGTTGGAGATTCTGGAGGAACTGTGTGAGACGGCGGACGGCCGAGATGGAGTTGGTGAAGACAAGGGTGCGGTGCTTGGGGTGGTAGAGAAGTAGCGTGTAGAGAAAGAGGTCCTGGAGTCATCTGGTCAGCGAGGTTAATTATTTGACGGTAGTATGAGTAGGCTTACCTTTTCCATTGCTGCGCATTCGACAATGCCTTCCTTCAGTCCCTCGGCCATCTGCGAGACAGGGTTGACATCAATAAACTTGGGCTTCTCTTCTCGGAAGTTCAGCTTCTGCAAAAGATACTCCATCGACTCCTTCTTGTCCATGATATCACCGCTCGTCCAGCGTCCTTTGCCGGCAAGCTTCTGCTGCAAGTCCCGATGGAAAGTAGCAGAGAAGACCAGGGTCTGCCTCTCGTTCTTCTTCTCCTCCTCCTCGGTCGCTTCCTTCTCTTCGTACTGGAAGTCTCCATCCACTATGCGGTCAAGGGTAGTAATAATCTCGTTTGCTTCCTTGAAGTGGCCTTCGCTGAGCAATCTATCAGCCTCATCGATGACAAGGAACTTGATACCCTGCATCTTGCGAATCACGCCCTGGCCCGTGCTCATAACCTCCCAAACTCGACCCGGCGTTCCGACCACGATATCCGCACTAGCCAACAAGCGCTGCTGTTTCTGCAAGGACAGACCTCCCGTGAGAAGGGCGATGCGTGCATTGGCGCCTGGCGACTGCTGGACCAAGTCACCAATATGCTTGGCCAACTGATGTGCGAGTTCGCGAGTGGGCGAGAGAATCAGGGCGATGGGTTCCGTGTCTTCCTTCTTCTTCTGGGTACCATTGCGCAGTTGCGTGCGCTTGATCTCCAAATAGTGTTCCAGGATCGGGATACCGAAGGCCAAGGTCTTTCCGGAACCCGTTGATGCCTTTCCTACCACGTCATGGCCGTCGAGGATGGGAGGAATACAGGACTTCTGGACCAGAGTGGGCGTAGAGAACTTCAGTTTCGAAAGACCGGTGAGCACTTCCGGAGAGAGTCCCAGTGACTCCCACTCGGAAATGTCCACGCCGTTATCCTCTTCCTCGTCCTCGAGAGCGGCGAAAGAAAGACCAGACTTGATGCTCTTGTCCTCCTGATTCGGGGTTCCCTTCTTGCTCTGCTCGGCTTTCTGCTTCCTTGCTTCCTTGGCTTCCTGCCGCTTCTTATCCCTCTTCTCTTTCCTCTTATCTTTGGCTTCTTGCTGCTTGTCCGTCACAGGGGACTTGGTAGCCTCTTCCTGCTCTTCATTTTGTTCTTCCGTGGTTGGTGCTTCCGTTTTCTCCTTCTCCGAGGTCTCGTTATCGCTGATTCCAGCCCATTCGTCGTCGAATTTCGCTTCTTCCTCTTGCTCTTCTGCGGTCTTCTTCTTCAGAATCGACTTTGGCGGTTTGCCAGCGGCGGCCTGCGAACGTCAATTTCACTGTCTGCAGCTGAATACCAGCTCGAAGTCATACCTTGAACCTAATCTCACCGCTTGCCTTGATAACGTCCACGCCGTCAATCTCCTCTAGTCCGAAGAAGCCTCCTGCATCCTCCATACGATCGGGTAGCGCAACTTCCTTCCAGTTGAGATCGTTCACAGTAACAACATCCGCATTGGCGCTCTTCTTCTGCTTCTTCGTCTGGACATCTGCGCCCTTGGCATCGCGCTGGCGTTTTTGACCCATGATGGCACACAGCGACTGTAGTTTTCTCAGGCGAACAATCACCTCCGCGACAAGTGAATAACAAAAACCAGTTGATGGAGGAAAGATAGGCAGGGGAGCGGGCCTGGCCTGCGAAACCTGCGGGAATGAAAAAAAAGCGGCAGAAAATGGCCGCCTTGGGAATCTTATCGCCGCCCCACACGCAAGACCGAAAGAAATTCCGCCCATTTCCCCTCCATTGCCTGGAATCTGACTTGCAATTTCCCACCCTTTACTTCAGTTGCATTATCCACGGTCTGAATCAGTATGGGTAAATCCTCCAAGGACAAGCGCGATGCCTACTACCGCCTGGCAAAGGAGCAGAACTGGCGCGCCCGCTCCGCCTTCAAGCTGATCCAGATTGACGAGCAATTCGACCTATTCGAGCACGAGAACCCGGAGAAGGTGACCCGCGTCGTCGATCTGTGCGCCGCTCCCGGCAGTTGGAGTCAGGTCCTGAGTCGCGTGTTGATTAAGGGCGAGAGTTTCGGGCGCCGCGCCTGGGTTGAGAAAAAGCGCCGGGAGAAGGAAGCCCTCGAACGAGTCCAGAGCGATGGAAGCAGCAGCAACAACGAGTCGCAATCCGCGAACGAGGATGAGACAACAACGGAGGAAGAGCTGAAGCCGCGGAAGAACGTCAAGATCGTCTCCATCGATCTGCAGCCGATGGCCCCCCTGGAGGGCATCACGACCCTCAAAGCCGACATCACCCACCCCTCCACCATTCCTCTTCTCCTGCGAGCCCTGGACCCCGAAGCCTACGAATCCACCACCACCGCCACCACCAGCGCTGATAACTCATCCCCCTCCACCTCCGCCACCCCAACTCCGACCCCCGTCCGACCCCCGCACCCCGTCGACCTGGTCATCTCCGACGGCGCCCCCGACGTGACCGGCCTCCACGACCTAGACATCTACATCCAATCGCAACTCCTCTACTCCGCGCTCAACCTCGCCCTGGGCGTCCTCCGCCCCGGCGGCAAGTTCGTCGCCAAAATCTTCCGCGGCCGCGACGTGGACCTCTTGTACGCGCAGCTGCGCACCGTCTTCGAGAAGGTCAGCGTCGCCAAGCCGCGGAGCAGCCGCGCCAGCAGTCTGGAGGCCTTTGTGGTCTGCGAGGGCTTCATCCCGCCGTCCATCCATGACGGACTGAAGGGCATGGAGGCGCTCAAGAACCCGGTCTTCGGCGGTGTCGCCGTGACGGCTCCTGCCTCTGCGGCAGCGGGCAGCAACAACGTGGCCGTTGAGGTGACGGATGAGACGCCCGAGGCGGCGGCGCCCGTGCAGGTGAACCATCCGGCCCCCGCCAACACGACACTCAACAAGGACAAGGACAACGGCACCGCGCGCCTGCTCCACCCGGAGTCGCTGGCTTCCGCTGTCCCCGAGCCGTTGGCGTATAAGCCCCTCGCGGAGAAGTTCTCCGTCGAGAACCGCTGGATCCCGCGCTTCATTGCCTGTGGTGATCTCTCCGCGTGGGACTCGGATGCCTCGTATGCCCTGCCGCCGGATCACGTCAGTCTCGACCCCGTGCAGCCGCCTACGGCGCCGCCTTATCGGCGGGCGTTGGAGCTGAGGAAGGAGAAGGGTGGAGCGTACGGGAAGACGAAGTTAGGGGCCATGGGTCGGGCTTGAGGTACACCATGCGCAGCATGAATCTCCGCGTGGGGTTGGTGTACTTGGGTCAATTTGTGTGTGTATTATGATATGTGTTACGGTGCCCCTTCGTGTTTAGATTTGTTCATGTCTACGACTGCTTGCTTTTCGGTTTGGCTTCACGAAGCTAGAGATCTTTCCTTTGTGTGCACGTGTGTGGTCGGTCGTTCGGGGGACGATCTGAGGATCCCAAAAAGAATATAGCAGATATACCCCATAGATTCACAAAAGATGGAAGAAGTTGGCTTTTGTTTGGCGGTTTTGTCTTCTGGCCGTGGACGAAGGCTTCGTTGTATAATACTCTTACCAATTTCTGGCTGATAGCTTTGGATCTTTCCTTTTATCTTCTACATTGTCAGCTGCCAGCGCAAGAGCGGTTCCGGAGAGCGGACTTCTTGAGAGCGAGAGGTCGGTACTGCCAGGAGGTTGTCTTGCCTCTCTGGACGGCGAGTTCGAAGTTTCATAGGCTACGGATGGCGCCAACGCTATGGAATGGCTATGGGAAGTGGGAGTGCTTGAGACCACCACCTGCGGGCCCATGTGCAGGCATTACAGATCTGCTTGGATAGGATGCTACACACGTACTGATGAAACATGATATGTCGGGCTCGTAGACATAGATTGGAGCTCGACGATAATCTTGATTCCAGGGCAGTTGACGTGTTACTGAAGCATATAGGTGTGCCATGTACCGTGAATGCCATTGTCCGAGTCAATTATACTACAATTGAGGAATGAACATGCATGAACACTGAACTGAATGATTTGACAAGTCTATCCAAGTGAAATCCTGTCGGATGTTCTAGATGCGAAACAGCGCTAAACTCAAACAGGAAGGCCAGCTCATCTGCCAGCCAAAGTGCCGACCCTCGTGCTTTTGAAAATATACAGAAAGCGTTTCATCCATTTTATCATCATCCTCCAACCAACGGACATCCCATCATCGACTCTAGTACACCTCCAGAACGTATCTCTCCTCGTCCTTGAGCTTCTCGATCTCCTTGTGGGGCTCGACCTTCTTGCCCTGGGCCTTGGCCTCGATGGCGATGGCTTCCTCGAGGACGGCGGTGACGTCGGGCACGGGCCAGGTGGGGCCGCAGAGGTAGAATGCACCCTCCTCGCGGATGTAGGCCTGGACGATCTCGGGCAGCGTCTGCCGCATGCGGTCCTGGATGTAGATCTTCTCGGGCTGGTCACGGGAGAAGGCGCGGCCGAGGACGGTGATGACCCCGGCCTCTTGGTAGGCCTCCCACTCCTCACCGTAACAGTACTCCTCGCGCTGGTGACGAGAGCCCATGTACAGCAGGACAGCGCCAATCTCCTTGCCCTGGGCCTTCTCGAGGGCCCGGTGCTGGACAAAGGCACGGAATGGCGCCAGACCGGTTCCCAGACCAGCCATGATCAAAGGCTGGGTGGACTTGGGAGGCAGCTTCATCACGCTGGACTTGACACTGACAGTAATGGGGGTGCCCGGTTGCAGGCGGCTCAGGTAACGGGTCGCCTGACCGAAGCGGTCACGGCCGCGGGGATCGGTCCAGGTAACGGCGACGATCATGAGAGCCACAGTGGTGGGGGTGACCTTCTGGCACGAGGCGATGGAGTACTCACGACGCTTCATGGGGCCGACGATGCGGATCAGGTCGTGGAAGTCAGGGTGGGCAGATGGATATTCCAAAAGGATGTCAGCGAAACTGACAGTGTCGACCTCAGCACGGCGCTTGAACTCCACGGCACCTTCGGGGCCACCGAGAGTGCGCAGATCGGTCTTCTCCTTCTCGTCATCGGCGAACTCGGCAAGGGCTTCGTAGAAGCGCTTGGGAGGGCGACCGAAGATATCGATGTTCTGGACCAGCGCCTGGTAGACAGTGCGGTTCTCCAGAACAGCGGGGTCCTCACGGCTGGGCACTTCGACAATGTCATCGGCGTTGAGGCCATAGAATTTGATGAACTCGAGAACCTCGTTGGCATCATTCTCAGCGTGGACACCCAGTGCCTCACCAATGTCGTACTTGAGTCCAGAGTCGCCAAGATCGAACTCAATGTGGAAGATGTTACGATCATAGGTGACAGGGGTCAAGCGTCTGTTCTCCTTGACGTGAACCGTGAAGGTCTTGGTAGCAAGGTCAGGACGGAGAGCAGTCTTGGTATCATAGGCCTCCTTAAAGGCCAAGCCCTTGGCGGCGGCCTCCCAGTCCTTGAGGTAGGAGGCAGGCTCGCTCTCTTCCTTGTCGAAGGCAACAAAGCTGTTGGGGGAGATGTCCTTGGGCAACTGAGGAATCTGGGCCCCCTCCTCGGGGATCTTCCAGGACTCAGGGACTTCGATCTGGCGAAGAACCTTCTCGAGGTCCTTGCTGACACTCTCCAAAGCATCAGCATTGCCCACAATCGAGGCCAGCTTCTTGATGCCAACCGACTCTTGGGTGGGCAGAGCCACGCGCAAAAAGGCGACCTGAATGACAGACGACTCGGGGACAGACTCTCCGGCAGCGGAGGGGTCAACGAAGTAGAGGGAGATTCCGCGCTCGGCGATGGACTGTCTGAAGGCCACAGGCAGCTTCTTTTCCAGCTCATCATCCTTCACGCCAGGAGCGTTGACAATGATCTTGCCGCCAGCCTTGACAGAAGCGACGACATCAATGTCTCCCAAAAGCTTGAGGTCTCCGACGAAGGTGGTGTCGGCGGCAGTGACGGAGTAAGGAGCATCCAGAATCTTGGAGCTCTTGCGGATATCGACGCGGACAACTCCTCCTTGAATCAGGTTGTCATGGGCCTTGCTGGTGGTGACATTGCTGGCGGAGTCGGCAGCCAAAGCCTGGGAGAGAACAGTTGCGACATCACCGCCAACGGAGTTGTCAGTGTCCCAGAAAGTGTATTCCTGAACAGCAGACGGGTCCAAAAGCTGGAGGGGCTCAGTCTCGGCGCCGGCCTGGACGATAGGCTTCTCGTGAATAAGCTGGAAAGCGGCGGCGGTGTTGATCAGATCCCAACGCTGAGAGCGGGGATACTTGATGTCCACGGTGGTCGGGGCCTGCTCACGGTCGGTAGCAAAGGTGAGGGCAGCAAGAACGTCCTCATAGAGGGCGGAACGAACGCCCTGTTCTTGGACGGCCTGCTCGTTGGCAACCTGTCCCAGAACACCGACAGTCTTGACAGACTTGGGCAGCACGCGCAGGAACTCTTCTTCCACGAAGGGACGGTAGACACGGACATTTACCACACCCACGCGAACACCGTCCTTGGCGAGAGAGCGGGCAATCTGGGCAGTGAGGGATGCCTCGACGGTACCGAAGGCAACCAGAACGGAAACGGGTTCGGCATGGCCATGGTACTCGAAGAGACCGTAGTCGGTTCCGAGCTCACCGTTCAAAGACTGAAGGAGCTCCAGAAGCTTGCCCTGGTTGTCGAGGTGGCGGCTGCGGGAATCCTCCAGAGTCTTACGGACAGATTCGTACGTGCGAGCAAGGCCGGCTTGATCGAGGATGTCGATGACACGAGTGTGCTCCCGGCCAACGCGCACACCGTCGTAGATGTGAACGGAAGGCAGGACAGAGGCGAGCAAAGTGGTCAGGAGGGCCATGTGCTGCGATTCGTGGGCAGAGGCACTGGAAACCAGACCCAGTCCAAGCTCCTCGGCGAGGGCGAGGGCAGTGGCATAGTCGGAGACCAGGCCGTCTTCGGCGGCATAGTCCACAGCAGCAACATGGGCAGCAACAGGGCTAGCCACAGAGTAGAGCAGCGAGAGTTGCTCCAAAGCCGCACGCATGTAGGGGAGGGTAGCCGAAGAGGCAACGATACCCTGAGGGACGTGGCGCTTCTTCAGGTCGAAGTCTTGAGAGAAGATGTAACCGAGAGCGATGTTACCGGCACCCTGGCGAGTCTCCATAGCCTTGATCTCGGGAGATTCGCCATTGGCATTGGTCTCCTGGCTGGAAGCCCACTGGCGGAGAGCAGCATCCAGATCGAATGACTCAGGAGAGTAAGAGAAGATCTTATCACTGAGGAGGTATGCGACCTGCTGAATGAGGGTCTGGGCGGTAACATAGGTAGGGCCGCTGAGGGCCGACAAGGCTGGGGAAGAAGCACCCATTGTGAGGAATTCCTGCCTGGATACCGGTGTCACACAACCGATAACTCTTAGGTGAAGACAAGAAGAGAGAGAGAAAGAGAGAATAAGTGGAGGAAAGACGAGGGCAATGAGGGGGAGGGGGATAAAAAGCCCGTCGCCGCCGTATAGAAAAGCCCAGGGGATCATGCCTTATCCGGCTAGTGGCAATCACGCAATTTCTTATCGATAAAAAATTGGAGGGTCGGAGGCGGGATCTCAAGGCAGAATCTCTCCGCTTTCGGCCGACTTCCCCGCATTACTAATGCAAGGAACCATGGGGCCTGGGCTGTGGGCACGTGAAGGGTCCTTCTGCCTGAGGCACAGACTGTGAGTTTGTGTGTTTGTAATGGACCCGCTGATCTCCCCACTAAACGTCATCCGCGCATTTCCTTTCAAGCCGCACTGCAGGAGATTGCATCCCCCAATTTACTATATCTGTCTACCGATCATATCCTTACTTCACTACATATAATCAGCATAATGGCTAACGTTGCCCTACTCGGTTCTACTGGCATGGTGGTAAGTACTGAGCAAACAAGCTCTTTTTTAGGCTCACGCCAAGGCCCGTGTTGTTCTCCCTTGATTACATCCCTGCTCTGGACTGTCGCGATGTATAACTTATAGGAGGTTCCCAGAAAGATACTGCTCCGGGATATACTAACCAAAAACTCTCAGGGGAGCTTGATTCTCACCAGCCTGCTCAGAAACCCCTCTATCGCCCGCGTGGACACAATCTCCCGCCGCACGCCGCAACCTGCCACGGCCGCGCCGCAGGAGAAGCTCACCACCTTCGTCTCCGACGACACCTCCAAGTGGGCCGAGCAGCTGGCGTCGCTGACCCCGACCCCCAACATCTACATCTCCGCCTTCGGCACCACCCGCGCCGCCGCCGGCGGGTTCGACAATCAGTACAAGATCGAGCACGGCCTGAACGTCGAGACGGCGCGCGCGGCGCGCGACGCCGGCGTCAAGGTGTACGTGCTGGTCTCCTCGTCGGGCGCCGACAAGGGCTCGTTCTTCGCCTACCCGCGGATGAAGGGGGAAATTGAGGAGGACGTCAAGGCGCTGGGCTTCGAGCGGACCGTCATCCTGCGGCCCGGGCTGATCGGCGGGCAGCGCGAGGAGAGTCGCCCTGCGGAGGCGGTGATGCGGGGGTTCGCGGGTCTCCTGGGCAAAGTCCACTCCAGCCTGAAGGATGGTTGGGCGCAGGATGCGGATGTCATCGGGCGGGCCGCGGTCAATGCCGGATTGAAGGCGCTGGAGG